CACAGCCACCTTTGCTGGCAACATACCTAAGTCGCGTGTGTGTGTGTGTGTGTGTGTGTGTGTGTGTGTGTACATGCATCAATACTGGCACTTGAATTCCAGACCTTTCACTCTCACTCGGCTTTCTTGCTCGACTGATATTCTACCCCTTGAGCCACACCTCATCTTTGATCTTTTTGCTAGTTAGTTGGGGATAGGAGTATCTCAAATGTGTCTTCTTGGGCTGGCTTTAAACATTGATCTTCTGACTTCAGCCTCCTGAGTAGCTAGATGTACAGACATGAACCATTGGCAGCTGACTTTGCTCCTGACTGCTTTAGAGTGTGTGTGTGCGCGTGTGTGTGTGTGTGTGTGTGTGTGTGTTTTGTGTGTGTGAGCCATCCTGGAGCTTGAACTCAAAGCCTAGGTACTGTCCCTTAGCTTTGCTTTGATTTTTGCTTAAGGCTAGCATTCTACCACTTGAGCTACAACTCCACTTCTGGATATTTTCAACGGTGTTTAATTGGAGATTAGTCATACAATCTTTCCTGCCCTGGCTGCCTTTGAACCACAACCTTCAGATCTCAGCCTCCTGAGTAGCTAAGATTACAGGCATGACCCAGCACCAGCTTTCTGGCTATTTTATTCTCTAATTCCTAGCCCTTATCCTTTTGTATAAAAAGCCTAGGATAATTCATTCCTGTACTTTTTTCTTTTCCCATGAGTTGCACTTCAGGGCCTTTTGTTGGGGTTTGGGGGCTTGGTGGGGGTTGTGTTGTGTTTTGCCATGCTAGGGATCAAACAGGAATTTGAATATGCTAGGCAAACATCTCCCACTATGTTGGAGATGTTCCTCCTGGTTCCTTCCAAGCCTAAGAATTTTGCTGGGATCTGGGCATTTTAGATAATGTACTGTAGCAGTTCAGAGGTGCCAGTCTCCTCTTCTGGGGCTCATTTTTCTTGACTCATTTAGGGCTCAGTCTAAAGTCACTGTCGGTATTGGAAGAGCTCTCCGGCCTACCTTCCCTGACCACGCCCCTTCCCGTGGTAAACGCCACCCACTGCAGCCCAATAGTGTATCAGTTCAGCGATTCTCTAGGGCAAAAACCCCAAAAAAAGAAAGGAAAGGAGATGAAGGAGAAGGAGAGGGAGGGAGAAGTAGCAAAAGAAGGAAGGAGAAAGGGAAAGGGAAAGGAAGGAACTAATCCAATCAAAATTGACTCTTTTGCAGTATTTGATTTTGTTTGCTTGCTTGCAGTTAGTGGCTGAGGTTTCCCCTCCTCATTCTCTCTAGTTCACCTCCAGCCTAGACAGTCCCATCACAACCCTCCCCCACCTGTCTCTACCACAGCCTGCACCATGTCTGTCTCCGTGCTCTGTTGTAAATAGTGTCAGTTCCTTTGGGGCAAGAATAAGAACTATGTTAGGGCAGATTCTACTCCCAAGCAAATTCTTGGTGATAAAGGTCCTGAGTTGGGTGTGAAGTGAGGGATCTTCTCTCACAGAGAGCCTTTCTCCAGGGCTGAACTCCTGGAAGAGAGCCGCAGTGTGAGGTCCCTGCCTGGAGCCTTGTGTTCATGAGCCTGACCAAGGATACCTCCCCACACTGCCAATCCAGCCAGCCTAGACCTTCCAACTCTCATCTATCTACTTAAATTCATGTTCTCATGCCGATTTCCCTGTAAATCTTTTTCAGAAGTTTTAAATAATTTGGGTTTTGTTGTTGTTTTACAATTTTCACCAGCTTTACTGAAGAGTGAGTCCTCTTATAGACTCACACTGGAAGTCAACTATAAATTGATTGGAAATCATTTTCAAATTTAATGGTCTAATTGTTCACTCAGAAGCAACAGTGTGTGTGTGTGTGTGTGTGTGTGTGTGTGTGTGTGTGTGTGTGTGTGTGGGAGAGAGAGAGAGAGAGAGAACTGTCCCTTTGCTTTTTTGCTCAAGGATAGCACTCTACCACTAGAGCCCAGCTCTATTTCCAGCTTTTTTGGTGGTTAATTTGAGATAAGAGGCTCAGGGAAGCCTGGTAATGGTGGCTCATGCCTATAATCCTAGCTACTCAGAAGGCTGTGATCTGAGATTCCAGCCTAGGCAGGAAACTCTGTGAGACATATTTCCAATCAACCACCAGGAAACTGGAAGTGGCACTGTGGTCCAAAGTGGTAGAGTGCTAGCCTTGAGTGAAAAAGCTCAAGGACAGTGCCAAGGCCCTGAGTTCAAGCCCACGACTGACAAAAAAAAGACATAATACAACAATTAAGGTTCATAACTAGAAGTTTCTGGAATGATCACACTGCATAAAGACTTGCCATGTTTATCTCTCTAGTCAATAGTTGGATGCTTGTTTGAGTTCAGGTTTGGGAGGTAACTCAGTGGTAGAACACTTGCATACCATGCGCAATGTCTTGGATTCCATCCTTCGAGCCACAAAAAAATATTTGAGAAGTTTAGCAAGAATTTTATTTAATAAAACAGGATAAAGTGGGGAGAACTAAGAAAGGGGGTGAAGGGGAGTGGAGACAGAGAATGGTAAAAGGAAGGGCAGGTGAATTCAGGTACTATATTCAATGTATATATGTGATAATGGATGGAACCACACCACTTGAGGGGAGGGGTGGGGTTGGGAGGGGTGGGGAAGAAAGGTGGAGGGGCTGAGACTGTCCCAGATGCATTATACCCTTTTGTACAACTACATAAGGATAATTTTTTTAAGCAAGGAAGGAAAGAAAGAAGAAAATGCAAAGGAAGGAAGGAAGGGAGAAAGGGAGGGACGGAGGGACGGAGGGAGAAGGGTGGGAAAAGGAAGGGAAGAAGAGAAAAAGGGAACTATCTCTTATACAATAGAGCTGGGGAAGAGTCAAACAGATGGTTCTTGCCTCTTGGTATTTATCTTGGAGATTTCAGGTACCACAAAAAATTTGAAGGGCAGGGGACAAGGATATCTCTGTGTTGTCTAGTCTAGTCTTGAACTCCTGTCTCTAGTCTTGAACTCCTGTCTCAGCAATCCTATTGCCTCAGCTCCTGAGTAGCTGGGGAACACAAGCTACCATGCCCAGCTCTTAAGGTATTTTTTATTATTATTAAGGAAAGTGTTGACCCTACTGATCATGTTCTTAACCAATTGCGATCATTTGGTGAGCACTTGCTTATGTTCACGTTGCAGAAGCATCGGGAAATGGATGGAGGCAACCAAAGTGGGGAATCTGGGTTCCTCCTGCTGGGGATTTCAGAGATTCCTGAGCAGCAGTCCGTCCTCTTTTGGGCGTTCCTGTCCATGTACCTGGTCACAGTGGTGGGGAATGTGCTCATCATCCTGGCCATCACCTCTGACTCACGCCTGTATACTCCCATGTACTTTTTCCTGGCCAACCTCTCCCTCACGGACCTCTTCTTTGTCACCAACACCATCCCCAAGATGCTGGTGAACCTTCAGTCGCAGAACAAAGCCATCTCCTACGCCGGGTGTCTGACGCAGCTCTACTTTCTGGTCTCCCTGGTGGCCCTGGACAACCTCATCCTGGCAGTGATGGCCTATGACCGCTACGTGGCCATCTGCCGCCCCCTTCACTACACCACAGCCATGAGCCCTAAGCTCTGTGTCTCTCTCCTCGCCCTGTGCTGGGTCCTGTCTGTCCTCTATGGCCTCATCCACACCCTCCTCATGACCAGGGTGATCTTCTGTGGATCTCGGAAAATCCACTACATCTTCTGTGAGATGTACGTCCTGTTGAGGCTTGCATGTTCCAACACCCAAGTCAACCACCTGGCGCTGATTGTCACAGGCTGCTTGGTCTTCCTCGTTCCCTTTGGGTTCATGATCCTGTCCTATGTCTGGATCATCAGAGCCATCCTCAGAATCCCATCAGCCTCTAACAAGTACAAAGCCTTCTCCACCTGTGCTTCCCATTTGGCTGTGGTCTCTCTCTTCTATGGGACACTGTGTATGGTGTATCTGCAGCCCCTCCACACCTACTCCCTGAAGGATTCGGTAGCCACGGTGATGTATGCTGTGGTGACCCCCATGATGAACCCTTTCATCTACAGCCTGAGGAACAAGGATATGCACTGGGCGCTGGGAAGGCTTGTGAGGAAGCCCTGTCAGGGGCTCACAAGGGGGTAATTTGGGGAAAGGGACATTGAAGCTATGCAGAGGCATTGTCTTGCAGGTTATACAGAAGTAATCAGAACATCTCTCCAGTTCAGAATGAGCTCATGTAGTATAGTGATTTTTTTAAAAAAAGATATGGAAGTCTCACCTGCTTTCTGCCTACCTCTCCACCCTCCCCAGATCTTGCCAGTCCGCTACTTAATAAAGTCTCACGAATACTAAAACTTTACAGGATTGAATTGGTCAGTGTGCCTGACCACAGGACCCCATTCTCAGCCTTGGGCAGATACACTCAATTATGGCCTCCAGGTGTGTCTTGAAAGTTATCTACCATCCATCCAAGGCATAGGCACTGAATGGTAACTGGTGGAATGGTTGGTTGGTCGCTGGGCTATGGTGGTTTGAAGGAGAGCTTTAGAAATGAATGCGGAGAGCCAGGACTTCAGCAAGACTCCGGCAGGAAGAGTCCACTGGCTTTTAGTCTGCGGTAAGGAAGAACACTCACTCTGGGCAGATTAGCCAATGAGGATAGGAAGAAGGCGGGCCTTCCGCAGAACCAGCTAATGAAACGCCGGGAGGGATCGGCCCTCGAATTTCTCGGTCCCCCACCGCGGCAGGCCTTGTCCTCACGTTTAGCAGGCTGCGAGCGCCATCCAGTGGCAGCCTGCAGAACTCTCCAGCGACTCCTTGTAAACAGCTCTTGTAACCTTCAGCACCCGGCCCCCCTTCCCCACCCCCCCCACACATTTATACCTAAGAGGTTAATTTCAGACTAGTTCCAGGAATAAATTAAAAGAACAACATGAAACGAGTCATTTCAGGATCACCACCATCTGATAAAACTCCACGTTGATAGCTGATTTTTAAAACAAAAATAAAATTCCCAGTAAACTAGGAATTAAAAACTCATAATAAAATAAATTCAGGCTGGGAATGTGGCTTAGCGGTAGAGTGCTTGCCTAGCATGCATGAAGACCTGGGTTCAATTCCTTAGTACCACATAAACAGAAAAGGCCAGAAGTGGTGCTGTGGCTCAAATGGTAGAGCTCTAGCCTTGAGCACAGAGAAGCTCAGGGACAGTGCCCAGGCCCTTAGTTCAAGACCCAAGACTGGCAAAAAAATATATAAATAAATAAAAATACATCCACAGAAAATTAATTTAGGCACTGTTATTAAAAAGATGAATGCAGAAACACATGAAGAAATGTTCATCATCCCTGGTGGTAAAGGAAATGCAAATAAAGACAACCCTGAGATACCACCTTACCCCAGTCAGAATGTCCCACATCCACAAATCAGCCAACGACAAATGCTGGAGGGGATGTGGAGAAAGAGGAACCCTATTACACTGCTGGTGGGAATGTACAATTATACAACCACTTTGGAAAGCAGTCTGGAGGGTCCTTAGAAAGCTAAAGATTGACCTCCCTTATGACCCAGTCATACCACTTCTAGACATCTACCCTGAACAACAGGAACCAATATACAAGGACACGTACACCTCCATGTTTATTGCAGCACTGTTCACAATAGCTAGGATATGGAAACAACCCAGATGCCCCACGACAGATGAATGGATCCAAAAATTGTGGTATCTATACACAATGGAATATTATGCAGCCATTAGAAATGACAAAATAATGGCATTTGCAGGGAAATGGATGGAGCTAGAAGGAATCATGTTGAGCGAGGTAAGCCAAGAGCGAAGAGACAAATGGTACATGGTCTCCCTGATAAGTGGATGCTAAATCCAAAATGTTAGGTGATACGACAAAACTAACAGAACTTAAGAAACAAAGAACTCCTGCTCATCTGGTTGAACCACTACTAAATATCCCCATGCTGCTGATCACATGTATGGTGTATAACATGTGAACACTGTTATATATTACAGACTGTGATAGACAATTTGCTCCAGGAAAGTTAGAATGAACTTGTGACTTAGAAATTATATAATCACTTAAGCACAATCAAAAAAAAAAAAGAACTTCGGGGAAGGGAGGGAGGGAGGGGATGGTAGGGGGAAAACAATGGAGGGGCTAACAATGTTCAAGAGGAAGTGTACTCATTACCTCACTCATGTAACTGTAACCCTCTGTATAGTATCTTTACAATAAAAAATTTTAAAAAAAAGATGAATGCAAATACCACAACTGTCACTGATTTTTGTCGTTGCTGCTATTGTTCATTTGTGCATTTTGTTTTTTTTGTGTGTGGTGTGCCAGTTACTGGGGCTTTAATTCAAGGCATCAAACTCTTAGCTTTTTTACTCAAGACTACCACTTGAGCCATACATCCATTTCTGGCTTTTTGCTGGTTAACTGGAGATAAGAGTCTCACAGACTTTTCTTTCTAGGCTGTCTTTGAATTGCAATCCACAGATCTCAGCCTCCTGAGTAGCTAGAATTACAGGTATGAGTGCCACCAGAGTGGCCTAAACAGCAATGTGCAGACAGGGCCAAGAAGGGCGGGTTCGTGTCTTTCATTGGGCTACTTTTGATTGGTTGTTTTCCATTTTGTGAGATATTGGCTATCTCTCGCATCATTTTTTTAATTTTGCTTTTGAGGGAATGACTCGAGAACGGGTTGTCATATCTGTACCCCATCTGGCCCATATCCTGGCCTAACATGCCTCCTCATTCCCCCTGGATCTTAGAGTTTCTCTGTCCACCATGTCACTTTAAATGGGGCCTCTTCCACACTCAAAACTGTGTACCCAAAAATCATACCGTTCCTTCTGATCCCTTTATACTCAGGGATAGCTATGTGAACTGTGCACAGAAACCAATGCTAGGAAAGCTAATCTTCCCTGATACAGCCCCAGGCCCCATCTCCTGGCCCTTCCCCATCTGGAAGGCTGACAAAAGGACAAAATGACAACAGTCATTAGTACCACGCAGTGACCAAAAGGGTGATGATGATGATGATGATGTACACGAAGAATAGTGAAGTTGGCCAAGTACCTGTGGCTCACATGGGTAATCCTAGCTGCTCAGGAGGCTGAGAGCTGAAGATTCCAATTGCAAGTTAGCGCTAGCAGTAAAGTCCATTTGTCTCTTATCTCCAATTAACCAGCAAAAATCTAGAATTAGAAATGTGGCTCAAATGGTAGAGGATAAGCCTTAAGTGAAAGGCCCTGAATTCAAGCCCCAGGACCAACACCACACACACACACACACACACACACACACACAGGGCAGAAACAAGACACAGCCAGTGCCCTCAGGGATGAGACAAAATGCCCAAGGAAGAGCTGCTCCTACCCCAAAACTAAGATCTGACCTGCCTGGCCTTTAGTTACATTAGATGCGTGAGTCACCACGATATCCAACTAATGGAACTTTCTGAAAATTCACTCCTGTTCACTGGGAGGTATCTCATTGGAGGCTCTCCAGTGAGTGGGGTCACCTGGCAATTGAGGGAGTGCAGGCAAGCAGGGGTTATTGGCAGGAAAAGCCTCTGACCATAGGATGCTGCTGGCTGCCAGGCCCTTCAGGAGCTGCTCCCTGAAGAAGTTGGGGGCTCTACCAGAAGCTGGTCCTGAAAGAGGAGCCTACACAGCAGGAGCCAGTCCTTAAGAGGCAGCACGTGAGAACCTGTCAAAGTTGACATAAGAGCTTGCCTGACAAATAAAAAACCCTGGAAGCAAACCTCTTCCCCTCCTGCTGGGTCTCTCTTGCCCCCTCTACTGACAATGTTTAGCATTACACCAGCTAGTAAAAAACATACTTAAAGGGCTCAGATTCATTTTCCCAATCCAGTCAGTGAAGGGTAATTTAGTGCTGAGTCCCCATCAGATAATGATAGGGAGGAGAATAAAAACAAAACAAAAAGTTATAGCACATTTATAAAGAAAAGGCCAATAACACAATAGTAAGAAAAGAAACACAAAGAACCAAGGAAGAAAAAATGAAAACTGAGGGTAGATACCCATTTTTGCTGTCCTCTTGGGGGCACAGCATCTTTACCCTTTGAATCTAGAAAACACAGAATACCCCTATTTTTTAATCCTCTTTTTTGCTTAAGCTAGTGTGAGCTAGTATCCAGCCCTGCGAAAAATCCATCCTCCTCAACACCAACTCAGACAGTGCCTTCAAATCTTAGATTAAAATTTTAGCCTTGAATGGCTCAGTGGTAGAGCACGTGTCTTGCATGCCTGAGGCCCTGGGTTCGATTCCTCAGCACCATATATTAAAATGAAAAAAGCCGGAAGTGGTGTTGTGGCTCAAGTGGTAGAGCGCTAGCCTTGAGCTGAAGAGCTGGACAGCGCCCAGGCCCAGAGTTCAGGCCCCATGACCGGACCCTCCCCCCAAAAAAAATTTAGCCTTGATAAGCCCATAAAATGGATTATAGGTGTTTGTATCTGCTAGCATTTTATCTTTTCCTATTTTTGGAGAGTCTCTTCCTTAATAGAAAATTCTTTTTTTTCTTTTTTTTGCTAGTCGTGGGGCCTGAACTCTGGGCCTGGGCGCTGTCCCTCAGCTCTTCAGCTCAAGGCTAGCGCTCTACCACTGGAGCCACAGCGCCACTTCCAGCTTTTTCTGCTTATGTTGTGCTAAGGAATTGAACCCAGGGCCTCATGCATGCGAGGAAAGCACTCTACCACTGAGCCACCTTCCCAGCCCCTTAGTGGAAAATTATATAAGGTTAAAAGAAAACAAAAGTTGCTGGGCACTGGTGGCTCTCAGCCATAATCCTAGCTACTCCAGAGGCTGAGATCTGAGGATCGTCATTCAAAGCCAGCCCAGGCAAGAAAGTTCGTGAGCCTCTTATCTCCAATTAACCACCAGAAAACTGGAAAGGGTCCTGTGGCTTAAAGTGGCAGAGCGCTAATCTTGAGCACCTAAACTCGGAGTTCAAGCCCCACAACCAACCACAACAACAACAACAACAAAGAAGTTAAAAATCTTTTCCATTATATTCACTATTGTGCTCTAAATGAGACACCTGGATTTTGCCTCCATCCCAACTCCCATTTCCCCCAGATCTTTCCTCAGATTTCTTCGTAGTGA